GTACAGGGGTGATGCATTGATCACTGCGATTGGTTCCCCCTTCCCCCTACCCTCCTCGCTACTCCCTCTTCTATTCCTGAGGGGTTTATCTGTGTGTTGTGAGCTCTTATCTGTACCAGTGTACATTCTCTGGTCTAGCCCAAAGTGAAAGGCAGGACTGGGGTCATGACAGTGGGGAGTGAGGAAGCCTTAAAGAACCAGAGGAATATTATGTGTTTTATCGTTCTGTACTGTGCCCTGATTTATTCATCCCTTCCTTGTAACCCTTCTGTGAGGGGATGCCCTATTGTATACAGATGGTTTGGGGGTCTCTGCTCCAACCACGCTCGTTCCTCACAATATGTTTTTTATTTGGGGTCTTCTGGTGTCTGTTACCTGATTCTGTCGACACCTCATGATCACAGAGACTGGTGTGCTTCCTCCATGTAGGTTTGTTGCTTCTCTGCTAGGTGGCTACTTGTTTAACTTCAAGTCTCTCTTTTTTTTTTAACTTCAAGTCTTTAAGACGCAGATGCTATATCTTTTGATAGCCAGGTATCATCAGCTTTCTTCACTACCTTTGCTTTTGCACCCATTTTGTCTTCAGCGATTGTGTTGGGAGGTTGAACATCACGGAATGCCAAGTTGTTAGAACAAAGTGTTCTTGTGTTGAGGGAGAGCCCTACCACTCTTAAGTGTTGATCCCTGACACTATATTCGCCCCCTGTTCCAGCTTGATTCACTCCCTGAACTCTACTTTGAGTACACCTAGAACTTGACTCATTGCTTTGGGTAGGATCCTTTGGGGCACATGGAACAAATCCACCCAAGCTAGCCCAAAACAGGAAGCAATCCAGGGATGTCTCATAATTTTGGCTCATTCACAACCAGAACCAGGAATTAGAGTAGTGGAAATGCCCACTGAATGCTCTTAAAATTGCTTTAGTTTCGAGAGAAAGTGAGGATAGAATCTCTTAATCCCTGTTAGAGATAGATTCCCTAGGATACAGAGCCAGCATGGGCCATCCACTCACCTCACTCCACTAAAATGTACCTATAAGGTATGTTGTACAAACACAGCAGCCAATCACTGCTCCTGTAACATGTACATGGCTCCTGTAACATGTAACATGCACATAAGCACAGCTCCCAAGACCAGCTAGACATTCTAAAGAGACGCCAATAGTTGTCTGCCAAATTTAAAAGTGTCTGAGCATGTGTTCAGAGGCTCTGAAGCTTCTGACTTCTTATTCAAAACTTTCTTGATGTCCTCTGGTTCCCTAATTCTGTTGTTGTTATTGTGAAGTGCTATCACGGCAGTTCCAACTCATGGCAACTCTGCACAGTAGAATGAGACACTGCTCACTCCTGCACCGTCACCACCGTTGTTCTTGTGCTTGAGCCCGCTTTTGCAGCCAGTGTGTCAGCCCATGTCCTTGAGGATTTTCTTCTTTTTTGCTGACCCTCTACTTTACCAAGTGTGATGTCCCTCTCCGGGAACTGATCTTTCCTGATAACATGTCCAAAGTGTGTGAGACAAACTCTTGCCATCTTACTTTA